ACCAATTCATTCGATCTGCTTGTGCGATTAACTACCTATGGCTATGGGTTTGGCTCACGTTATTCGACGAGAGCGAAAAAGGCAGAGCACACCTCAACCACACGACAAAATGAGGATATTTAGGATATTCTTGAAGTTAATCGTTGAGGATTTGGAACACAACGAAAGCGAATAAGATACATAATTTATAAGTTGCATACTTAAAAATTCAATTTTCATTACAGTTGTATTCGCTATTTGACTTTTTTTCAATTCTACTTGTGTTATGAACCGATTAGTTCTTAAGATGTATTATATGAAAAGCTCAAAATCTACCAAAACTAACTAACTCTGCTAAATAGTACTAAGGTGGCCATAGGTCTCGGTTTGGCCAGGACAGTCCCGGATTTTCCTCTTGCAGTCCAGTTGTTATAGTAAGTTTACCTCGGAATTCGAGATACCCAGCTGTAAGTCTGTAAATAAATACTTGTATATTGACACCCTAAAGTTGTCTCAGCACCTACATATGACATTGACACCCTAGTATATGTAGGTTTTGAGACAACTTTAGGGTGTCAGTATACAAGTATTTACACACTTAGAGCTGGGAAACTCGAGTTTCGAGATTTTTACCTAATTTAAGCTTAAATGACTGGACTATTGTGTTCCGGGTTTTTCTGAAAGCAATATCTGTCTTGGATTTAGATATTCTGTTCCGGGTTGTTCCGGGATTCCAGAAAGTATAGATATAAATTGAATATTTGTAATCACTTGATAATAAAATTACAACAATCCATCAAATATGTGATAATGTTATATACAACAAATGCAAAATTTCAAAAGCCGATTAAAATAGCTCCTCATATTAACACTTTCCACTCGCATGCCGCCGCTCTGGCGACATAATACATAATTCTTCTGCAATGTACGAGTGGAAAGAGTTATTAATTTCGTACTTGCATTTTCAATTTTACCAAAATTACCATAAATCATGAAAAATAAATATTTGAACGCCTTGCACAAGTGCTAATTTATACTAAATTTAATTATGAAGAAAAAATATATGATATAATATAGCATATGAAAGTTAAGATAATGAAGTCCTACTAAAAGTCAGTTATTCTGATTAAAAAAAACATTATATTTAATAAAAAAAAACTGATTCTAAATCATATTTAAGATATTGAGAATAAAGCTCAATGATCTTACTTATTGTTAGTTGAGATTTGAGTTGATGCTAATTTACAAAGTTTTAATATTTTTTGGTTTCGATAATGAATGAAGTGATAAGTAAAATTTTCAAACTTTTGAAAAATTAAAATGTTTGTAATTGTATAATTCTTGTTTGTTTTCATCTATTCCTGAAGATTATTCAAAATCCCCAAAATATAAAAAATATATATATTAGGGCGAGTTGACTTAAAGGTCACTTAGGCACATATGATTTTCGGATTCTAGGAATCCAAATAAGATACTTCTCTCAAGAAACCATACCTCTGATATGAGTTCTGGTGTTCCGTGCATTGACCCAATAAGAGTTAAATTTAAAAACCCTCTTAGGGGGAGTCCCAGGTGGTGAACCACGAGCATGGGTGGATAGGGTTTACAAAATTACTGGGGGTCGATCATACATTTGGACGCTATTGGGGCACTCTGAATGGGTCAAAATGAAAATTTTCAAATTTTAACCCGTAATTTTGAGTCAATACACGAGATATCAGAATTCATTTGAGAGATATAATTTCTTCAGCAAATTATCTTATTTTGATTCGAAATCCTTTGCCTCTGAGACTTTTTTTGACCCATACAAATCGACCCGCAATATTCTGTATTTTACTTTAATACTCTATATTATAAATACATTTTTGAAGATATTCTCTACAAAATCAACAAAAAATCCAAGATTATTTTTCCCATCTACTAATTAATTTATAGGTATTATAATTTACAGGTATTTGGTATATGCAGGTAAAAATATTATGAATTAATAAAAACCCAATCCCTAAATTAACATTTGCTTTTAGATTCACACGTGTCTGAAATACAATAGTATTTAGAGGCACCTAGATATATGAGAGATTAATATTAGATTAGAAAAAATTTATACTAATGTATATATACATCACATAAACTAATTTAAATAATTATTTTAACTAATGTGTGTATATCACATATACCTTAATACAAAAAGTAAAGTTAGAGTAGATCACTAAAAATAATCTACATAACCAGAATTACATTATAATACTAATAGCTGTGTACCACAATAATACATGTTGAAATGTTTAAATGTCTTTAAATTTTGTAATATTTGTGTTATAAATTTTGACATTTTGAATAACTTTTAATGTTTACTGTTAATGAAAAATATCGAGATACCAAAATTTATACCACAACAAATTTATTTGTTTTTGTTTGAAGCATAATCTAAAGATGTTCCTCATACATTTCATACAAAAATTAATTAACCCATATATAACATCAATACAAAAATATTTATATATATATATATATATATATATATATATATATATATATATTTACATAAACATTCAGAACAATATGTAATAATTGAATATTTCTAAAAGCTTCTCTTTTACATGCATGCCTATTTATGTGAAATATCACCTGCTCTATGAATTGTACTAAAATTAATTACATTTGTGCATGAAAATATTGTTGATTCATTTTACATTGTATAAAAACTTTAAAAAGCATGTTGGTGGTTCGTTTTGTACAATCAATTTGTAACATTCATTTGAAATCAAATCGATATTGTTGAACGAGTAAATTCAAACAAAATTAATTAAGAATGCACGTGTTACTCGGAAATTCAATTGGAAAATATTACTAATGTGTAATCGATACACTTTATTATGTTTTGTTGGGATATTGGTTGGAACACGTGTTGGAAATTAATTTTTACATTTTACTGACCGTAATAGTGTATTTTAAATTCATAGTACTTCTGGCATTATACGCAATTTTCACCTTTTCACAGTGCATATTTCAAACAAATACAATTCAAGGTAATAAATGAAATATGAATTTAAATAATTATTTAACTGGGTGTGTAATAAAATATATGAACTTGGTTTGGCATAAAAAATATGGACAAGTAAATTGTGATGCAATTGATTAGTTAAGGGGGCGTCCTATAATCACATGAGGATTTTAGGGGGATGGGGGGTTTGTCAAAAAATGACGAAAAGTTATGTGGGGGAGGAAGGGGTCTAGTTAGGTATCACGTATATTTACTTTACCTCATTTAAAATAAATCAAAAATTTTACGATTTTTTTATAAATTCAAAAAATTTGTTCGAAAAATTTTACGTAACTAAAAATACACGTGAAGTTTGGTAGGGGATTAGGGGGCTCTAATTTCAAATATCACTACGTATCACCATGGGGAAGGGAGTGTCCAAAAATCACGGAAAATTATTATTAATGTTATTAATGGACGCCGCCTAACTGTGATTGACGAGTATGCTCGTCATGAGTATAAAACAGTGACCGTTAGATAATTAATTATCAATTTTTGAGAAAAACAAAACATATTCTTACATTTCAACGTGTTTAGAATATTTCAAGCCTAAGAATATTTTTATGTCGAAATAAAACAAACCATTCAAAATACTGGCAGATTGAGATGATATTAAGCGTCCCGTTGTGCTGGTTGAAACAATTCGAGCGCTTTTATTTTAATACGTCTGCAACATATGCTTATTTCGAGCAAAAAAGTAAAATAGTAATACAATTTTTAATTTTCAAAAGTTAACCTTTTTTCACCCAATATTTTACTAGCGTAACTTTTTTTCTGACTGACGTATATATTTGTCATGACTCGATTTTGATGACGTACTTTTTGGGAGCTTACATTAATCGTGTTAAATTTTTTAAGGATTTTTGGACTCCCCTGCCCGTTCGTGATATTCAAAATTATCCCCCTCCCTCACCAAACATCACGTGTATTTTTAGTTACAAGAAAAAATAGTAAAATTTTTTATTTTTTTTGAAAATGTTTGGATTTAAAAAAAAAATAGGTAGAAAATAAATACACTATACCCCTCCCACCCCCACGTGATATTTTGTCTTTTTTTGTCAAACCCTTCCTCCCCCTAAAAACCTCACGTGATTAATGGACGCCCTCTTAAATAAAAGTAATGAATTTTACATACTTTAAATAATTCTGATGCATCAAATTTTAAATAATTCATTTTTGAAATAATTCAAAACCAGGTCTAAATTTTTAATTTCAATTATATTAGGGAAAACTGGGTACGGTTGTGTCAGGGTACGGTAGTGACAGTCGTTATTACAAATACACTGATTTTGAAATAAGGTCCAAATGGAGAAAGTTGAAGTATTTTTGTTCGAACAAGTTTTCATTATTGCATTTAGTCAGCGCCCTATATTAACATGATTTGTAGACCACTTTTAAATAGTCAATAGTAAGTTTTTTTGTTTGAATTATGTTAGTAATCTTCAAATTACCATTCAATTTACTTTTCTCTAATCTAACTGGTAAATCAACAAAATTGCAAAAAAGTGGCACAACCGTACCCAGTCACCCATACTACTTTTTTTAATAATTCATAATATTTTGCCTTGTGGGTTAATTATATTTTATTAACATCAGGTAAACTTTTGAGTCTTAAAACATCCATACTATGTAATATCATTATTACTTTTGAGACTGGACAACCATTTGATCAGGATAAATAAAATAAAAAATCTTCCAATCTTTTGTAAATATATCATACTCCAATTGATATTCTCAACTGTTGCACGTTGTTGATGTAAATTAAATTTAATAAACATAGCTATTTCGGGTCAGATTAGTTAAAAATTAATTATTTTGCCAACATATGACGTTGATGTAAAAACTTCATACTTGGATTGAAGTTCTTAACGCGTGCATATTGTCGATTTGAAGTTCAAATGAATAAACATATTTCATTGGCACTATTATAAATCCAAAATAATTATTAACATATAGTTTTCAATTTTTATCTATTTAGCACCACATTCTCCTCGTCGTCATAAACTGGATTTGAGAATGAAGTCACTGTCTTTGGACTCGCCAGAATCTTCTGAATTGCACGCCCAGAGACGAAGAATAACTCCTCCCAACAATAATAGCAGAATGAGCTGTAAGTTCGATTTTCACTTTTTTGCTCGATTAGTTTTTATTCACAAAATCAAGTTTTTTCTTTCTTTATACAAGAGCTCTGAAAAGTTGCGGTTTATAAATGCTTTTGATGAAACTTTTGTGGAGTGAATGGTAGAAACGTTGAATAATTTTTATGAAAGGAATATTTTTTTAACATTTTCTGTTATAGGTTTTTATGTTATAAATGTAAGGACGCAGAGATGGATATTTGAAGATATGTGTGTTTTATTGACATATTAATAGTTGATGGAAATTATTTTGTGAACTAACTTCAAACAATTAAAATTAATAAACGAATTAAAGTTTGAATTTTGCCTGAAATTTATTTGAAACAGTAGCTAATTATAAAAATAAGAAAATTAAACTAAACAATTTAATTCCTTGGACTGATTTAAATTTCTCGAACAGTAAGAATCAAGTAAGAATCAAATCATAAGTTTGAAACTTCAAAAATTTAAAAAAAATTGAAAATGTTTAGAATAATCAAAATTTTATATTTTTTATAATTTATTAAAAATAATTTTTAATAAAATAATTATTATTATCACAAAATAGTGCCTGACTGCACAGCAAATACTTAGCATTATGATAGTTTTTAGTGCCACTTTACATGCAAAATGCTACCTAACGTAGCCTTGCCATAACAAAAGTAATTTGAACAATGTTTCAGAAATATGTTAAATATTCTATATACAAATTAAATTTTTCGTGAACATCGTGTTTTTCAATTTTTTCTAATATTAGTTCGAAAATCTTGTTCTATTTATTTCGTTCCGCCATCTAACGTTGATGTTCATATAATATAGTGAGCGAAGACAAGAAAGGTTTATATATAGTAGTGAAATAGATATATTTTCACCATTTCACCTACTATTCATATTGTGATTATTGCTTTTATTTTTATGAAAATCATTGTTATTATAATATTATGGTCTGTATGCTGTAAATTGTACGTATACGTGCATGCCTCTTGTCTAGGCGTGAATATATCTCACATTTGGAGATTGTATTAATTTATACTATATATATATATATATATATATATATATATATATATATATATATATATATATATATATATGGTGAGATACGTCACCATTTTTCTAAAATTTGTCATCTGTCCTTTGTTACTCCATAGGCTGGGTATCCATCAGATAAATAGATACACTTTCTTATTTTTTATTTTAAAGGATTTTATGAAAAAACAGCAACATTTTTTTAAAATGCAGAAATAAAATTTTATGGGTGCATTTTTACAGAGATAACACTGTAGATAACCTTGATCTGGTATTTTGTCAGAATTATTCATTAGCAGAGTTGGAATAATTAATAATTTAACTTATCTATTATAAAATTGCTTTGTTTGCCTTTACTATTTACTATTATTTATTGTTTGCACCTTTACCAGGGTGTAGGTTCAGTTGGTCCTTTTTACCTCATCCAGGTCCTAGATTGTATAGAGGATTATACGGATTTATTATATGATTAATTCTCCAGTTTAGTAATGTAATCTAAGAAAAGATGTATGTACATATATAAGTATACATATATAAGTAAGTAGTAGTTTCTCAATAAACATTGATTTTTGTTTATATCTATGTATTTGTTGTTTTTAATAACATTATTCTTCATGCGAATTTTTGATTATCCGAATGCCTATTGACAACAATTAGTCCGGTTAATCGAGTTTTTGCCATTTGCCGTCTATCTTTTGATTGCTTCGACGACAGAATCAAGGTTATCGCTGGTTATACATCTTTTGCACTCTACTTTCAAATATAGTTGTAATAAAAATCTTAACTTTACTGATTTTTGAGATATTTGTGGTGGACCTTTTTACCTTTTTTTAGTATGGATGTTTTCGAACTTCCTTGCTCCCAGTGGCTCAAACGCTCAAAAAAAATTCTCTGAAACTGAAAGTATTAGCTCTTAATATTAATAACAGAGTAAGTCACTTTAGGATAGTCCAGCCAAAGTTTCTTGGTTTTTGTTCCTAAGAAAATACTAATTTTATGAAATATATCAAATTTTTGTTGTAAGTTATTTATTTATGATCAAATTAAGCAAATTCAATGTTAATCTCAAAATTTTGATTTACTTGTCACTAAGCTATGAATCTTTTCATATAAACTTTAGTTGGGGTTCAGACTATCTTAAAGATAATATCAAGAGCTAAAACTTTCAGAGAATTGTTTTTTATCAAGTTGGAAGCCTCTGGGAACAAGAAACTTTGAAAACTACCATATTAAGGACCACCCTAATATACATATATGTATATGCTACATTTGTGTGTAATTTTGGAAATATTATTAGACATTATTACCATTTTTGTGTATAGCCCCATCCAGCCCGAGCAACAAGCGCCTATTAGGCGCACGTGGCATGCGTACAGGTAGCGTAGACCTGCCCGACCAGGAGATGGAAAGGAGCCTCTCTTCGGCCAGCACTTCACCATGTCCGTCGCCGGTGAGATACGTCACAGTAGGTGCCGCACGCAAACGCATTTTTTTCTCATTTTAACGAATTTATTTTATAGTGCCAGCAAAAGTACTTGCAGCATTTCAAAAGCATGTACTTTCAAAGGTACTCTCCATGTATTTGCTCGCTTATAACAAAGTTAATTTTATAGACTAGCTAACTATATTTTTGCACGTTACTAGTAAAGGAAGTTGAAAAGTTTTCAAAATTTGAATAATGCATTCAAGCATTATATTTTATTATCAACGTAGTAAACTACTATGTTAATGCTGAAACTTTATTATTGCATCCTTAAAACTGCATTCAACTCGGTTCATTTTGTTTTACTTGTTTACGACATGGTCTATTTCTGTCTAAGGACCTACCTACCTACCAATGTACAATATTAAAATTATGAATGCTATATTTACAAATTGTCGCTTTTGCAGAAATTGTTTTTGCTAACATTTTGCTTATCTGCACATTATATATGATACTACTTAATCAGTCCATATTAAAATATGCTAATAACATATGATGATATTTTCTTAAAAACATAACTATAATAATAACTGGTAGTCTGCCCGAAGACAGGTCCATGATGTGGGAGTACCACATATCAATGATTCACATTCCCTTCCTTTTCTGTCATTCCCATTGCCACTTTTCCACCTTTTTTATACATTTTTTATGCGTTTTCCATTCCAAATTTTTGTTTCGTGGACCTGTCCTTCGGCTTTCAATTTTCTGTGCTTTCCCTCTTAATAACATATTCTAACTTATTTGTATTTTCTTAATAATATATCGTAATCAAATTTTAAAATTAATGATATCATTTTATACTAATTTACTTATAGAAACCCCATCGTTTGCTGCCAACTAATTTATACGCAGTGCTTTACAACTTTCAAGCTAGACATCAAGATGAACTTGATCTTCGTGCTGGGTATAAGGTAATTTATATGGATTAAATAGTTTATCATATATTGCTTCTAGCTATATTATTGTTGGATAAACAATAGCAATATTTTTTATATTATTGAATGTTTGAGTAAGTTCATCATTAGCTTTCCTTAGGGTAAGTTTGCATATCCTTACGTTTCAAGATCTTCTAAACATTTTGGCATACCTTAGAAAAATTGGTAAATGTATGTGTGTGTATGTGTAATATGTTTTTTTGGTGCGGATACAAATTTCCGTCGACGTTTTTGAGAGCACAGCTCAACCGATTTAAATGATTCAGAAATTCATTCGATTCCTATAGACAGGAAGCCGGAGTGATTAGTTTCTGAGAGAATAGAGCATCTGGTTTGCAAGTTTCAATAACATTTTGTTTGTATTGACAGAGTGAAAAACTGATCACATTTTTGCCAAATTAGACTGGTGATCGAGATCCATTGACGTTATTGCTGGGTAAAAATTAAAATAATTGACAATTGGTGATCTGAAATTATAATTACAAATCATTACTAATAATTGAAATACATTTAGGAATATTGATATGCGAATGACATGTAGACAGGCGGACAGGTAGAAAATTGGGCAGATGGACACATAGACAGGTAGACAAATAGACTGGTAGACATATTGACAGGTAGAAATAGGGACAGGTAGACAGATAGAAAGGTAGACAGATATATAAGTAAGCTGGTAAACAAGTAGACAGATAGACAAGTAAGCTGGTAGACAGATAGACAGGTAAGCTGGTAGACAGATAGACAGATTGACAGGTAAGATGGTAGACAGATAGACAGATTGACATGTAAGCTGGTAGATAGATAGAGAGGTAATCTGCTCCTAATTAGACAGGTAGACAGATAAATTTTTTTTGTTCTCAAACCTTAACAGCAATCGGAACCTTATGTCCTATGAGCTGTTGACTCTTCCTTACTTCGTATTTTTAGATGGTAACCTAATGGTAACCCATCCATTTTAATGCAAGGGCTATTACCACTTGGAAACATATTGAGATAGACAAATAAGCAGAAAGATAGGTAGACATATAAACAGGTAGATAAGTAGAAAGGTAAATGGATGGACTTGTAGGCAGGTACAAAAGTAGCAAGGTATTTACTTGGACAGGTAAACAAGCAGACTGTTAGACAGATAGTTCATATACTATTGAAATATTTATTGATAAAATCAATTTTTTACACAAATCGGATCAAAATCAATCACAAACAATCGCTTACACCCGGTTTATTTTTTAGGTGACTGTTATAGACAGTTCAGATCCAGACTGGTGGAAAGGCAAGTGTTTGGGTCGCGTTGGATTTTTCCCATCAAAGTACTGTACACGGCTGCAAGCTGGTGAGAAGGTACTTCAGGTCACTCATAATGTGCAGACTGGTGATCGAGATCCGTTGACGTTATTACGAGACCAGATCGTTGTTCAGGTATATATAATATAAAGAAGGTAAATTGAACAACATGGTTAAGATTGTAACCGTTTTAACCCCTTGGATAATATCGTAGATGTGTTCTTTGTCGGCTATTTTAGGCATATTCAACAAAGCAGTTGAAGGTAATTCCAAGTATCAACATACACTGGTCAATGAGATCATTTGCAGTATTTAGCAATTCGTTCGTAAACTAAATTGTTGTCTTAAATAAACATAATGCTCGAAATTTACGTCGTAGATTTATTGTAGCAAACAACTTGTAACATTAAGCCATTTCGGGCAATTAACCGAAAAGTAATCAACGAGATTCAAACCGGTGATTCATTATAAGCTATGAAATAGTTAAAGAAATGTGTCATATGTTTGAAAACCAAACGCCTTATTAGGGTAATTATTATTCTGCGTAATAATTTCGAATTATTTATTGTAGATTTATTGCAGCAAACAATTTTTATATTTTCTCGATTCGCGCCTTTTATCAGATTGTAATCAACGAGATTCAAAACAATGATTCATTATTCGTTTGTGAAACGAAATGTGTCATATGTTTGGAAATTGAACGCCTTAATAGGGTAATTATTATTCTGCATAATATTTTCGAATTATTAGTCGTAGATTTATTGCAATAATTTGTATATTTTTTCAATTCGCGTGATTTATCAGAAAGCAATCAACTAGATCAAAACAATGATTTATTAATCGTTTATGAAATGGTTTGAGAAATGTGTCATATGTTTGGAAACTTAACATCCTAATATAGGCAGTAATTGTTGTACGTAGTATTTTCGAATTATTAGTCATAGATTTATTGTAGCAAACAAGTTATATATTTTTCCAGTTCGCGAAATTTATCAGAATGTAATAATCAACGAGATTCAAAACAATGATTTAATTCGTTTATGAAATAGTTTGAGAAATGTGTCATTAACGTCTTAATATAGGTAGTATATTTTCGAATTACACGTCGTAGATTTCTCGTAGCAAACAAAAGTTGTATATTATTCCAATTCGCGCGATTTATCAGAAAGTAATCAACGAGATTCAAAACAAACAACAAACAAACAATTTATTAATCGTTTATGAAATGGTTTGAGAAATGTGTCATATGTTTGAAAACTTAACGTCTTAATATTGGCAATAATTGTTCTACGTAATAATTTCGAATTATTTATCATAGATTTGCTGTAGCAAACAACTTGTATAATTTACACAAATTGCGAATCGTAGAAAAGTAATCAACGAGATCAAAACAATGATTCATTCGTTTATGAAATGGTAGAAGTAGTTTCAGAAATGTGCTTTAATATTGGTCTATTTTGCGGCAGAATCGGCCCATAGGATGAGTAAAAACGATCGAGATTTATTTAATAAATAAATATTATTGAGGAACAACACGGTTCCATTTTTTTCGTACTTTTTTATCATTACTACTTCATATTAGGCTATCCATGGGAATCCAACCTGGACTCTTTGTTTGTAAGAAAATAAAAACTTAAAGATAAATACTTACTTCTATTTATGTGATGGTACTTATTGTATCTCAGGCTGCGCTCTTCCCTGATATTTTTTTTCAGCTATATATTTCATTTGTCTCAAGAAACGAAATTATAAAATACTCTTTAACCAAAAAACAGTAAGATGAGCATTCGAAAGTGACAAATGAGTACAAGTCTTTGAGGTCCCTAACGTCGAAAGCGCGACTCGCGCTCGAAAATATATAATATTATTCGATGTAACAGAGTCTCCAACAAATTGTAAAAAGAATTTTGTAGCAGAGAAACATAGAAAAAATATGGTTTCTTTTTTAATTGATTCGAGTTGGGGGTAGGGTAGATAAAATCTTTATAAATAATTAAGGGTTGTTATTGATAAAAAAATTGCAAAAACAACTTTTTTGCAATCAAATTATTACAAAGTTTACTTTAACATGAGTGTAATAAAAATAATAATAGTAATGAAGAGATCAGCACAACTGGCGATAATTAATTTACCGCAGAGGAAAGTGACAAATAAGTCTTTGAGGTACCCGACGTGAAAAGCGCGACTTGCGCTCGAAAATATTTAATATCTTTCGATGTAACAGAGTCTCGAAATTGTAAAAAAATCATAGAAATTGAGCAAATCATCCATATTTGTATTGTAAATATTTACGTAAAAAAAAATTTTTTTTTCAGCAAAATTCTGAAATGCTTGGCAAATGATTTTATGTATAATATCTGTAATTAAAATTTCATTCAATTCTAAAATGTGACATTTTGTTTTTCCCAAAATCCGTGCAAGTTATAAAAGAATGACCCATATGTTGACTGTTATTAGGGAAGAATTAGTTGAAGTGTGATTTATCCTTTATAATTTCGGTAGGTCGGCGAAGAGAACAAGGGCCTAGTGTCCGTTCGCGTAGCTGACCGCCGCACCGGCATGTGCCCGGTCAAGTACTTGCTGGAGGTGTGACGCACAGAGAGCGACACAGCACGGCGTCGCGGCGTCGAGCGTCGCAGCACCGAGCAGCGTCGCACCACGTCGACTGCCTCGGTCGCCTCGACCGTGTGCCCATCGATGCGACGCCCTTTGCTCCTGTCACACCAGCCACTTCAGAACCAACAAACGTTTTACAATTTTTACCCGCAAACCACCTGCCGCGCGGCTGGTTATTACAACTCGCTCAATAGCCGAAGCCGACCCCTTATGGTCATACCGCCGTAATTTTCTGACTACAAAATATACCCCAAAAATGTTTTCCTGTAATACATGTTTGAATGTGATACTTGTCTTTAAAAAATCAAACATATAATTAAATGGTTAAATATGTTAGGCAGAATAGATGTTATAGTATGGTTTAATTGTTCCAACATCCGATGTTAATGTTTAATCAGATTAATCATAGTTATTTGAATGTGGTGTGAATCTACTACTCGTAAACCGTGCGAGCTGTTCATGTTTTTAAATATTTGGAAGTGTTACAAAACATGCCAAACACTGCGAGATTAATAACAAATATGCGAAAAGAAACAAACGTTTCGAAAAGATCAAGGGACCAATTCTTGCATAAAATAGAAATGTTATGGTAATGCTATGTCACGGGTCTATCTTCGTATGAATTGGTAGTAACAAACTGATACAAAACTACGTACTTGCTGTCAGGCGTTTTATACATAAAACCTAACTTTACGTACGTGTTATCAAAAGACATCAGAAAATTCCACTTCATTGTTATTTGATGTTTGCTAAGGCGACCATCCGCTATAGTCCCGGATTTCACCTTGTGTCCCGGGTTTTTGTAAAAACAATACATATTTGTCCCGGATTTAGCTAATTCATCCAAAGTTTAGGTTTTTATTGAACCTTCTTAATTACTCCACAATAAAATTACAAATACTCATCAAATATCTAAAAGTGATATATTCGAGTATGCTTATATGAAACATAGCGGTATAAAATTTTAAATACAATAAATAGTTTGATATAGAAGGGTTAAAATAGCCTCTCCATTAATAATTTTGAACTTTTATTTTTATTTTTATAAAAATTAGCAAAAATTATAAAAACGAACTTTTTGACTGCCTGACACA